TTCCAGACCTTTTCTGAGCCTCATTGCTATTTGCTGGGCTTGCTCCAGAGCCTCAGTGTCCTGACATCTACATGTGAATTATAGCCTGGGAATATTCTTTCTGCATGAAGAAACTTGTACCTTTGGAGGAACCTGTGATGTTCTGACAGTGGTTGTTAGCAGAAGGCTTTGCAAACCTACATCTGCAGCTTTATTTAGTGCAGTTACTGCATGGTTAATTGCTTTTCCTGAAATACTTCTGTGTCTGGGGAGGTCACAAAGTGGACAAGTAGTCGGTGGAGTGGGTCATTAAAGGGGAAGAGGTACTGCAAATTTTTAGTTCCTCTCAAAAATCTTGGCCTATATAAAGTGAAAATAAAAGAAAATTATGGGAGTTTTTGGAAGGAAACCAGTGTAGCCACTCTCTTCCCTCTCTGCTTCTGTTTCCTTTTCGTTTTTGACAATGCTGTGGTATAAATGGTTTCCCTGTTGCCTGTGATGTGGAAGAGGTCTGCAGCATCCTCACTGAAGGCTCATTGATGCATCAACGTTGGGCCAGAGACTCTTTCTATAATTTATATGTACTTCAGAGCTAGGGACCCTTTCATTTTACAAACAGACCCTGTTTTGTGAGAAGCTGTTCCATGGAAGAAGCTGTCAGGACATATGATTAGAAAGGTGCTTGCTCACAAACTGGGTATTTTTCAAAGCATGTTTCATCAGTGTGCTGGGTAAGGTTTCTTATTTGTTTGTTTGCTCAGGGATTTTTAGGTTGTTTATTTTTCAGTGTTATGATTCGAAAGTTACCTCAAGTGAGTATGAGGCAACTCACACTGGAAAGAAAGATTTTTGCCTCTAGTGTTAGTCATTTTCATGCTTAGCTTAAACTAAGTTATCATAATAGGCCTAGGTGGATATATTAGTGTTGAATCCTTTTCATGCTCCTGCAAATGCACTCTTAGTAATTCCCTTTTTCCCAGCCTCTCGACCTCTCAGTCTCTCTTTTATTTTATGGACAAGACCCACACACGGGGATGGGACTCACTCTTTGTGCTTGCTTGACTTTAGCAGAACTTGCTTTTATTTAGGTGTGGGTTTGCTGTGCCCTTGCTAAGCCCTCCTAGAGGGTCCAATAACTTGAGCATTATTCTGGCAGGTATCCTGGTGGCCACACTCTTCTTTGATTCTTAGTTCTGGCTCCTCTTTGTCATCTTTAGTTAATATTTTAGCTATGAGTAATTTAGACAAAGGAGGTGATTATTTCTTTCTGCAGTCCAAGGAGGAATGTTTTTAGTGGCTGGTAGGCAAATTGTAAGCAGAAGTAAACAGTGAGAAGAGGAATTGGGTTTTCTGGTCTGTTACTCAGGAACAGAAAAAGGAATTAATTCTGCACAGGCTAAGTAGTAAAACCAAAATTTTTGCAGCTGCTTTTGTACTCTCATATTTTTTTTTCTGAAAAAAAAAAAAAAAAAGAAGTATTTTACAAGTCAGATATTCATTAAGTATTCACTTGGGATTTTGGTAGCACTTGCTGTGAGTTGACTTTTTTCCGAGACTTTAGTGAAATGAAAAAGAAATCTTACTCCTAGGTCTGTCATCAGGGGAAAACATGCACAGCACTTCATACATTTCTTCTTTTTCTTCCTTGTGATGTCTCAAGTTTTTTGAAATTTGAAAGTTAAATCCTATTTTTGTTCTCTATGTCATTTGATGCTCTCCTAGTGGCTTGAATTCAGCTGTTTTGAAGACTGCACACAGAAGTTGGTGCTCTGTTTTCTGTGAGCAGAGATAATTTACTACCTTTTGTACTAGCATGAATTTTTTCTGTCTTTTTCTTGGAGTTACAGGAGAGCATTTAGCATTTTCAGATATTATATTGCTCTCCAAATTCAGGTCTCCATTTTAAATAGATGGGTGTAATATCTGGTCACATCTTTAGCTGAGAAGCAAACTCCTGGGGAATAATATTTCACTGTACAGTCTTAAGACATATTGTTTCCAGCTTCTGCTTGGCTTTGAAAGCATCATCAATGGTGTGTGTGGTTGCAAGGAGGAAGTACCTGATATAATTTTATTGACTCTGAAGTTTTTTGATGCTGTTCCATAGGAGCTTCTTACACCTTCTAGACCAAAAGTGGTTACGCTGCTGTTTTGTTATGCTGTACTCAAATTAAGTAGCCATGGTTTGTTGTCCAAGTGAGAAGGCATTTCAGATGAGGACTTTGGAGGTCTCCACTAATCACTTAGGTGATGGACTGGGGAATGCCTTTTTTTAGTGGTGCCAAGAGCTGGAAAACCTTTTGGAGGCTAAGACTGGTTCCTGTTGTGTTGCGTTAATGGTGAAGGAACAAAACTACAACAGGTTGGATAAATTACATGTGCAAAGGGAAAATACAGTATTGCAGAAAACTTCTTAGATACTCCAGTGGCGTAAGCAAACATGGTAAGGCCATTCCTTTATCTCTGCCATCCCTCTCCGTAGGAGTTGCATATAAAACTGCTCCTGACTTGCTATTTATAAGCACCATAAACCAATTTGAAGTTACTTTAATGCCAGCGTGCACGCCATGGCATTTGGATAACTTTTTAATGGATAGCTTGATTTTGCTTGCTTGGGGAAATGGGTAGCAAGCAAGGCCAGTGACTTCAGGTGGCTTCCAGACTGGAAAGTCCTTTTTGGGAACAGCTCTTGCTCCAGCTCTCCAAAATGAGTTTGCCTGTGTTGATATCAAGTGCCAATTTACAGTGGGATACTGCTGCAACTTTCTTGGATAGAGTGGCACGTATCCAAGATACAGGAGGTAATTTTCCATTCTTTTTGCAGCTGAGATTTCACTAGCAATGAGCTTCAGGTCCAGTTTGGACTGTCATGCTTAAAGACAAGCTGGAGAGATTCCAGTTTAAGCTCAAGAACAGTGAGCTGTTTGAAAAAATATGACCCATAAGGAAGAGATGAGGTGATTGGGGTTTCTTTAGAAAAAGAGAAATCATTAAAGGGTGGGAAACCATGATGATATTTTTCATTATGTCAGGCATGAACATCAAAAGTGCCTGTGGCCAACTGCTCCCCATGTTCTGGGGAGCAAGATTAATTTGCAGAAAGAAGGTTTTAAGATTGTGGTGGTTGACTTTTTTGTTTGGGGTAGGTTGTTGGGTTTTTTTGGTAAGAATACTTAATGAAAATAGTGGAAGAGACCAGCTGGGGAAGTTTTTGCATCTTGGTTGTGGGAGGATTTGAAGAACAGGTTAGACAAACACCACTTATGGCATAGGGATATTTATCCAGCTTCAGAGTGGGGCTGGAACAGTAACTTCTTGAAGTGCCCTCAGGTCTTTCCACTTCAATTCTGTGGTTGGATACATATAGATGAGGCAAAACCAGAAAGGCAAAGAACTGTATATGCTTTTGATCTTCTAATCTGGTTTGACTTTTGCATTTTGAGCGTCTGTAAATCGCAGCATGAAATAGAGGAAGAACTGTTACCATTACATTCTGTGTTTTAATTTTATGACTTTAGATGTGAAACAACTTGCAGGTTACAGGAGTGAACACTGGTGCTGATCTTCTTTCCACCCTTTTTTCTCTGCAGGTCGCTTGGTTGGTGCCCTGGATGCTGTGTTAGACTCTAACGCGCGCGTCGCTCCCTTTCGGATTTTGCTCCAGGTTCCAGGCTCACAGGTTTACTCTGCCATTGCATGTGGTGAGTTATTGAACGGATCAGAAGTTTACTGGGCCATAGCTATTGGTGAGTCACAGATGGAAAACCCCAAACCGATTCTGAGCATGGTCAGTGTCTGCATGTCCAGGAAGCTCAAGGTAACCCCAGCTAGTCGAGTGTGTGTGGAAAGCTGTGGCCTATAGCTTGTTTAACATCCCAATTAACCTCTGGTTAAAATCCCAGATAGGAATTAGGAAAACGTTTCTATAGAAAACTTGTTTAGCTGAGGGTGTTTGGCTGCATTAGTCTTCCATCACTTGCAAAGTAGTGCAGTTCTGTTCATATGCATATCTTTTCCTACAGTAGTATTAGTCCCTTAAAACAAGAAGCAACTTAGTCTAGGCTTTCACTTGCTTACTGTGAAATGTCTTAGCAGACTTGGTTATAGTGAAACATAAGTGGAATATTTGGAAGAGACATTCAAGAGAGAGGAGATATTCAAGAACTGTCTGGAGTCAATTCTGTGCAATAGCCTTTAGGATGATTCTGCTTCAACAGGGAAGTTGGACCAGATGACCTGACAGGTTGAAAGTCCAGAGGAGGCCACGAAGTTGCTAAGAGCACTGGAGCATCTCCCTGTGAGGACAGACTGAGGGAGTTGGGGCTGTTCAGCCTGGAGAAGAGAAGGTTGCATGAAGACCTCATAGTAGACTGTCAGTATCTGAAAGGGCTCCAGGGAAGCTGCAGAGGGACTCTGTGTTAGGAGCTGCAGGGACAGGACAAGAGGCAATGGGGACAAATTGTAGGAGGAGAAATTTAGGTTAGATATTAGGAAAAAGTGTTTTCCCTGTGAGAGTGGTGAGACACTGTCCCAGGTTGCCCAGGGAGGCTGTGGCTGCCCCAACCCTGGCAGTGTTCACAGCCAGGTTGGATGAGCCTTGAGCAACCTGCTCTGGTGGGAGGTGTCCCTGCCCAGGGCAGGGGTTGGGGCTAGATGATCTGTAAGGTCCATTCCAACCCCTAAAACTCTCTGTTTCTTACCTATTCTATGATTGTTGTAGATCTCTTCCAACTGAATATATTCTATTCTATTCTTATACTGATCAAGCCAAGAAAGAGATGATGTAAATGTTGACTTGGTGATGGTGTTGACATAGTAGCCCTTTAAATGGAAGAGCCAGTCTATATATTCACCCCTTTCCTCTGTTCAAGCTCGTTCAGCAATTCTTCCTTGGTTCCCCATTAACACTGGGAATTTTTCCCTGGTCCAGGTGTGTGTAAAGAAGCTTGTGTAAAGTCTGTTTGTGTTTTGGCTAGGTTTTCTATGTTTTGCAATTGCTCTGTGCTTTCTAGCCCTATCCCCTCCTTTTTATATTTAAATAATGCCATCTCATGGAGAAATTTCAGAGCTTCATGCTCTTACAGTCCTCTGATGAAGCCAGGTAGCATTCACAGGAAAAGTGAACTCAATGTTGCTGTCATAGGCTTCTTGATTATTTGAAGATAGGCAATACTCCTTTCAGGAGCTGATCCTCACTCTATCCAAGCTCTTACTGCACACAGAATGTAGTTTGTTTTTCTTCTATTAAAGGAGCTACAAATCCAAAACTAGCCTGGGTGGAATGGTTAAGGATTTTGCTGAGATAAACTTATTTGATTAATGTTTTCTAAAATTCTATTTGGCCTTTCTGAATGGATACTCATCCCTGAGAAAATGAGATTTAGAGTAACAGAGCGGAAAGCAGAGAGGTCTGTTTTGTATGCTGCATGGGTAGGACATATGCAGCTGCCAGAGCTGCACAGAAATGGAAAACCATGGAAGCAGAAGTTGTTTCTGAATAATATTGCTGCTGTGAAACCCTGACAGGAGTGTCCAGGGGAGAGCTGGTGCAGGCAATAGGAGTCAGAGGAACATCTGACTTTCTTAGGAAGCCTGACCCCTTTCTTGGAGAGCTGGAGAACATTCCCCACACCAAAGTGGTTGTTGATGCTCACCCTGCCCTGTCTGAGCGCTGTGCTCCACACACACACCGTGTTGCATCCTCAGGAATTTTGAAGATGATGCTAAGTTGAGTGGGAGTGTGGATATGCCTGAGAAGTGTTTTTGTGCATGAGGGTAGGAAAGGTCTCCAGAGAGACCTGAACTGACTTGATCAGTGGGCTGAGAACAACTGCATGAGCTTCAGTGGGCTCAGTGCTGGTCGTGCACTTGGCACACAACGAGGCCATGCAGCTGCAGGCTGGGGAAGGAGATGCTGGAGAGCTGTTGGTCAGAAAAGGACATGAGAGTGCTGGCAACAGCGGCTCAATATGAGCCAAGAGTGCACAGGCGGCCAAGAAGGCCAAGGGGATCTTGGCTTGTCTCAAGATGAGTGTGGCAACAGGGCTAGGGCACTGAGCATCTCCCTGGGCCGGGCACTGGGGAGGTCACACCTGAGTGCCGTGTTCAGGTTCAAGCACTCACTGCCAAAAGGCCATTGAGGCACTGGAGCGAGTCCAGCCAAGGGCAAGGAGAGCACAAAAAGGTCTAGAAGACATGAGGAAGGACTGAGGGAGCTGAGTTTGGTTAGCCTTGAGAAGTGATTCAGGGATGACCTCCTGGCTCTCTCCAACTCCCTGTCAGGGGCTTGGAGAGAGGTGGGGGATGGTGTCTCCTGCTATGGCTGCAGGGAGAGGACTAGAGGGAGTAGCCTTGAGCTGTGGCAGGGCAGAGTCAGATTAGGTGTTAGGAAAAGATGTTTTCCTTCTTAGGGTGTTTAGGTGCTGGAATATTGCCCAGGGAGGTGGTGGAGTCACCATCCCTGGAAGTGTTGAAGAGGTGTCTGGATCTGACACTGGAGGATCTGGTTTAGGGTTTAGTGGTTCCAGCAGTGACAGGTTAATGGTTGGACTTGATGATCTTAGAGGTCTCCTCCAACTCTGATGATTCTGTGATTCTAATTAAGAGTCTGTAACCAGCTTTGGGAGGAGCAGGGAGTCACATTAAAGTTCCTGTTGTATAGCAAGGGCAAGGAGCAGCTCCAGGAGCTCCTTCCAGTCTCCCAGTCTAACTTCATTAGGGATAGCCATCATGTCATTAGGCAGTTAATTAAAATGACATTTTGTGATTGTATGCTGGCAGTCCTCTGTCCCAGGAGCTGTAGGCTTAAATGATAATCTATGTGTAAGGGTCTGATCTGTGTTACAGACTTCTGCAAGTCTCTGAGGTCTGCTAGGAAGTCTGATCCCTGCCCAGCACGGCTGTTCTGGCAGAGATGTTTAAATCCAGATGGTTAATCATGTTGTATCAGTACAGGAGAAAAAAAAAGGCAGCTAACCTGAGCCCTAGTATAGAGCTGCTTACAATTTTCCTTTCAGAAGGCTCATGAGCAAAATAGGAATTCAAGTCTCAGTCAAGTGAAATAAGTTTAAGGAGAGGGAGATCGAAGGGATCAGTGATAAGTGGGTTTAAAGAAGAGATTATGAGGAGTGAGGCTGTGGTTAGACAAAACACTTGGCACGGGTGGGTGAAGAAGGTGGGTTAAAAGTGGAATAAAATACTGTGCCAGAGCATTAGCACAGGAAGAGGAATAAAGAAGAGAAATAAGGAAGATATGGTGATGCTTTGGCCAAATCACAGGACAACTTTAAGCCACGAATAGAAATTAGACGTAAAGAAGAGACCCAAAAAGCTGAGGAGTTAGCCTGACCAAATGAAAGGGACATAAAAATCTGTACTTGAGCAGAGTCCCTGGAGTCAGGCTGGGAAGATTGCACAGATACCTAGGGATAAAGCCACTGGCAGTGCTGAGGCTCAGAGCAGTCCTAGCAGTGTGGATGCTGCTGTGGAAGGAACTTTGCCCATGGCTTGTCTCACAAGAGGCAGCCTGACAGCTCTGCCATACAGCTGGTGTCTCTTAGATTGCTCAGAAATTCAAACTCAACTCAGTATTTGCTTTGTGCAGCCATTTCAGTATAAAATTCCTGTATCTCTGGTGCTCTTAAGCACCAATATAATCATCAATAAGCATCAATATAATTTGTTTTCTTTACCTAAAGGGCACTTAAGTGTCTCTCCTTTCATGATTTTTTTTTCTTTTAAATTTAACCTTGCTTACTGATATTTATGAAATTCCATTACAAGACCTTCCTGTCAGGGAAGTTAAAGCTTGGAAAGTTTCCCTGCCAGTTGGCATTCTGCATGGAAACACAGAGCAAAGTGGAAAATCCTTACCTACATTTATCATTTTTTTTCGTTTTTGTGAGGCATCTCTGATGTACACCCAAAACATATCTTGAGAGAATGGGTCTTCTGTTTGAGGTTCATTTTATGCTTATATTTGTCTGTGATTTGTATGTCTCTTACATCCAACTACTACTCTCCTGTTTTCCACCAGCAAGGAACTAGGAGAAGCAACTATTGCTGCCTTTACTTTTATACCTATAGTGTTTAATCAGTGACCAGTAAGATCTGGAGGGCCCAGATTTTCCCCTGGCCCTGTGTGGTGCTTGTCTTGCTCTGACTTTTCTGTCCTTGTGCCATGCAGAGACAATTCAGTTTCAAGCAGAAAGAACCAAAGCAAATAGGTAGTGACTGAACTATTATTTCCAGAGTCACTGTGGAACACATTGCATTTCAAACAGCAGCAAACCCCTCAAATCTTTAGAGAAAGAAGCTTTAAAGACTGGAAAAATCTGTATTTGTCCGAGATTTTCTGTTTGCTTTAGCTTCTCCCCAAACTGTAGAAATGTGCTCTTGTAGAGCCTTTAGGTGTTGCTGAACTGAACTCTGATTTTTAGGTACTTTATTTATTATAGAGAGCTTTTCAAAGAGGATTCTGACCATACATATTCCTCTGACAGGGTGTGCATGTGTGTGGGGTGTGTGTATGCATCGAGGGAGGCAGAAAGGAAGATCAGGGACTTGGGGAACAGGACATAAACCAAAGGTTTCCAGTGGCTGCTCGAGGAACATCGTGTCAGAATAAGCTGCAGCCTAGCAGCTCAGGGTGAAGTTTTGCTGGTTCTTCTGCTTTGACTTTTAATGCAGCATTTGCTGGCTGAGAGCATTTGAGAAGATAAAACTAAAAGCACTAAAACTAATTCTCTAAAACAATGAAGTTTTTGTTTTCCTCTAACCAGACTGCTATGAACGAGACCTTTTTGACCTGTTTTCTACCAAGAATTTTGAGGTTGAAAGTTCAGTTTCTCCTAATGGATTTGTGAAAGAGTGCCTTTTTTTTTTCCCCCTCTTCATTTCAATTTTATTTTGTAGGATTAGTTTCAATACACTATACTTTTTTTGCTTTTCTAGGTGCCACTGCAGAGGAGATAAACCAGCACTGGGAATGGCTGGAACAAAACTTGCTCCATACTTTGTCTGTGTTTGACAATAAAGAAGATATTGTCAGCTTTGTCAAGGGGAAAGTGAAGGTAAGGAAACTGTCTCACTTTCACCCTTCTCTGCCCAATACATATGGTTTATTAGAAGTAATGTCAAGAAGTTGTTGTCATTCTTACCTGGTTCTGAGCATCTAAACATTATTAGTTTTCTGTGTGACTCTTGCAGCTGGTACATATGGTTTATTAGAAGTAATGTCATGAAGTTGTTGTCATTCTGACTTGGTTTTGAGCATCTAAACATTATTGGTTTTCTGTGTGACTCTTGCAGCTGCTGTGGTCAGCATCTGTGCATCTTTACTCCCATTTCCTTGCACACACCTCAAAACTGAAGTATCTAATTTAGTCTTCCAGCTTCACTGTTCTCTTCCCTGTGATGTGCAGCTGAGCTGTCCTCAGCATCTGCTTTCAGTTCCTCTGCCTCTCCAAAACATTATGTTAACTATCTTCTTCCCTTTCTATATCTCAGCTTTTTCTTCTTGTGATATTTCTCCTCCTATGTCCCATGTTTTTCCTTGCTTTAATAGCTTTTTCTTCTTGTGATATTTCTCCTATCTCCCATGTTTTTCCTTGCTTTAACCCATCTCCTGCCCATTTGCAAACACCTGTCTCTTTTTTGATGGGGCTCCAGGGTGCCAGCAGGTGAAACCCATGGGGCCTGAAGCTGCTGGCAGCACACTCCTGTGAATGCTGCTGCATCCTCACAACACAGGGACAGAAGTCCTTCTGCAGCAGCACCTGCATCCCAAGGATCTGCATGGAAACTGCCAGTGGCTTTGCAGGATGCAGGAGTCCTAGACAGGCACGTGAAGCTGCTGGTTGGCCACAGGGTTGTAGAAATGAGCATCCTTCTGGAAGCATAAAGAATTTTAGAAGTAAAGGCATTTTGTGACTATAGGACCAGATATAAAATCATAAAGGCATATGTGGTAAAACTTAGAAATCCTGATGAGAAGAGAAGGTTGTTTGGAGACCTCATAGTAGCCTGTCAGTATCTGAAGGGGCTACAGAACCAGAGAGGGACTCTGTGTTAGGAGCTGCAGTGACAGGACAAGGGGCAATGGGTAGAAATTGAAAGAGGGGAAATTTAGGTTAGATATTAGGAAAAGATCTTTCCTGTGAGGGTGGTGAGACACTGTCCCAGGTTGCCCAGGGAGGCGGTGGCTGCCCCAACCCTGGCAGTGGTCACAGCCAGGTTGGATGAGCCTTGAGCAACCTGCTCTGGTGGGAGGTGTCCCTGCCCAGGGCAGGGGTTGGGACTAGATGATCTGTAAGGTCTATTCCAACCCCTAAAATTCTATGATTCTGTGATGTCCTGAGCTCTACTTTTAGTGAAATTCATGCTTAAATTCTATGATTCTATGATGTCCTGAGCTCTGCTTTTAGTGAAATTTGTACTCCAAGAGGAGCATGGTGATGGCAAGTGGGGGGTGCAGGTTCACTGCTGTACCTTGACTCTTGCTGCAAGTATTTCCCTGCTAAGACTTTTAGTGTTCTTCCGGGGGTGCAGGTTCACTGCTGTACCTTGGCTCTTGCTGCAAGCATTTCCCTGCTAAGGGTTTTAGTGTTCTTCCCCCCCCATCACCTTTTTCACTTTGGAAAATATATAGGCACATAATGTTTTTGGTGAATTTCAGTCCTACTAGTGTGATCTCAGTGGGCTCTGAAGCTGAGTAAGAAGGGGACAGAGAGGCAAAACATCACTATACAAGTCTTAGTTTTTATCCTGGTTGCTAAAAAAAAAAGACACTTTGTCTAAATATACTGAAAGGCTTAAATACAGTTAAACTCTCTTGATAATGCTGTGGCAGCCTGTTATTTACAACAGCACATATTTAACATTCTTCAGGTTTCATGAGTTAATGTTAAATCCAGGCTTTGGACCCTCACACCTGCTGTAGATTTTTGGCATATTAGGACTGCTTGGTAATTGCAAATTATATCAGATGCTGTAACATATTTATCTGCATGGTGCAATGCATATCTAACTCCTTTGTTGTAATACCACACTTAAAATTCTGAACTCTTAATTATATTTACTTAGATGCTCTTGAAACTGTGTTTTGAATGGTTTTAAGCATGTCTTAAGTTACTGACACATCTGCATTGCTTCTTCATAGGTACTGGTCAGGAGACCCAACTGTTACTCTACCTTTGTTCAGTCTATCCCAAATAACAGCAATCATAAGCCATAGTGAAACTGTAAATATATGGTTTTGCTGTGGAAAAAAAATATATCTATTAAAAAAAAGGCCCCACAAGTCTTGATCTGGGAGCATTGCAATTGTGTGAGAGATGCCAGAGAAATGTCTCTGCTTGTGAAAATTGCAAATCAGCTTGGATTTCTTTGTAGGAAAAGGTTGCATTACTAAAATTTGAATGTGTAGCTTGTAGCAACGTGCCTGAGAGTCAACACCATAGCTTTATCCTGATCTGTTATCTCATCATGGTCTCAGGCACTGATTGCAGAGGAAACGAGCAGCAAACTCGCCGAGCAGGAGGAAGACCCCGAAAAGTTCCGAGATGCCCTGGTGAAATTTGAATCCAGGTTTAATTTTCCTGAAGCAGAGAAGTTGATCACCTATTATTCCTGTTGCTGTTGGAAAGGAAAAGTTCCTCGGCAGGGCTGGCTTTATTTGAGCATCAATCATCTCTGTTTTTACTCCTTCTTCCTGGGCAAAGAATGTAAGTGTAAATGCATGAGCAATCTAATGCTGGGGAGAGGTGTAAATATAACTACATTTAAAAGCAAGAGTAACCAGAATTGTTGTGAAAAGCCTAGTTCTCCTCTGAAGTTTAGCTTCTGAGTTCTTTGTTGTTCGGCTGAAAGACCCTGTTTAGTTTAGTTTTCAGTTCAGCCTTAATATTCTAGTAGGAATCCAGCGATAAATCGAACACTGTAAGAGCACACAGACATAGTTGCTATCTGGTTCCTTCTTTTTGACACAGCCAAGAGGCCTTAAAATGTAACAGAATTTTCCTACAGGTTCTGAAATAGAGACTTGCAGTGCTGAAAACAGTGAGTAAGGATGGGATCCCTCCCACAGGCAGGAAAACAGAGTCACTGCATTGCTCCAGGGCTGGTGGGGCCAGGGATGCCAAGTCCAGCTGCTGCCTGGAAATAGTCCAGGAGACATAACAGCTCTGTGCCCTGGAGAACCAGGTGAAAATTCAGAGCTTTTGAGGAAAAGCAACAGTGATTTAGGGCTTTGTTTGTGGTTTTGAATAGCAGTGCAGGAAGGTCACAAGAATTGTATGCTGAGGTTTCTAGACTTGCAGAGGATTCAGCAAGTTGTAAGAATATGGTCAGGGTGTTGCCCTACAGAGGAAAGGTTGTGTGATTATGAAAAGCCTTTCAGAATAGGTATTAGAAGGTAAAAATGAAAGTAACAGGCATAAGGTGGTAAAAATGAATGTAGCCATTTAAACTGTACAGCATTTCTTTGTTCAGTCAGATTTTGCATGTTCTAGACTTGCAGAGGATTCAGCAAGTTGTAAGAATATGGTCAGGGTGTTGCCCTACAGAGGAAAGGTTGTGTGATTATGAAAAGCCTTTCAGAATAGGTATTAGAAGGTAAAAATGAAAGTAACAGGCATAAGGTGGTAAAAATGAATGTAGCCATTTAAACTGTACAGCATTTCTTTGTTCAGTCAGATTTTGCATGGGTTTAA